GAGAGTGTTTGGTAAAGAGTGCTGAGTAGGGAGGCAGGGAAATCAAGGAGAAGCCAACTATTTTGGAGTTTTGCCTGGGACTATGCTTCTTCTGGAAGGAAGAAGAGCTGACATACATACTATATAAACAGAGAACTCTTGCTGGAAAGTACAATGATGGTGGCTACTAGGCAGGCAGATCTGATAACAGCATGCGTCCTTTGCTGGCCTGGAAGGCAGTGGAGCAACGTGGTGCAGAGTTGGGGCTTGGTGGTCCAACAGAGCTGACGCCATCCCACAGCAGCACCAGTTACATGTGCCTCTGCTGTGGGGCTTCTCCAGAGCTTTCCTGATATTGTTGAGGACCAGAAGAAATGACATGTGTGGAGGTTGTAGCTGCCATACAGGAAACACTCAAAAATATCAGTTCCATTCTCTTCCTACTTTTCACCTCTTTATGCAAGATGGTGGGTTTTATTCTTCCAACTCTTTTCACAAATTTCCACCATAGCATTCTTCCCAGTTATGGATGTATGGCTTGATGACTCATAACGTGCCCATGCATTTTGAAATCTTTATAGCTCAGATAGCCAGGTTAATGGGCAGGAAGAGAGATTTGTTGCCCTGATACGAGAACCCAACCCAACTTTGAACATTGCAACTGAGACTTATCCTTTATTTCTCATAGGTGAGCCAGCTCGTCTACCTGGGGAAAATGCAGGCTTATTTGTGAGGTTTGCCCGACTAATGTAGTTTTCCTATAGATGTCGTCACTGGTGTGATCAGCTGAAAGATGGACTGCTTGCTGATGTGAGCAGAAAGTTGAAGCCATTTGCTGTTAAGCAGTAGCCCCTCAAAAAGCACTGCCCTCGTCCTGTACCAACCATGGCACCTACTTCTTGTGTCCTGCCTTGCAGAGGAACTGCTGGAGCTGGAGAAGATGTGGAAAGGAGTGAAAGGGAGGAAAAGCCCCCAGAGGAAAATACACTTGGAGAGGAACTGATGAGCTAGAAGTCTATATAATTATTGTGTCAGTTAAGAATGCTTTTAGCTACAAGCAACTTTAGAGTGTCTCCAGTCAATAGGGATTTATTTTTCTCAGACAACGAGAAGCCTGTCGTGGGCAGTCCTGGGCAGGTTTAGAAGTTCTGTGATGTTATCAGAGATTTGGGCTTCTTTCTCTTTGCTCCGCTGTTGTTTGAGCTGGTTTGTCCCCTTGTGGTTTCATGATGGCTGCCACAGCTACAGACATGAGGTCCATTGCTTGAGCAAGATGAATAGGGCAGAGGCCAGCCACATCTGTCTTTCTTAATCAGGAATACAAAATCTTGACCAGAACCATTCCCCCACCTCCACCCAGGCACAGCAGACTCCACCTTTTGTTTCACAAACCAGAACTGGGTCACTTGGTCACCCTCTTAGCTGCAGGGGAGTCTGGGAAAGAGATCACTTGTCTTCCCAAGGGAGAGAGGCTGGCAATGGCTGGGGGCAGCTAACCCAAGGGCCTGACACAACTCTGAGGGAGAGGAGACCAAATTCCAAAGTCCTCAGTGTTCTTTTTGTTTGTTTGTTTGTTTTTTACATCTTTATTGGAGTATAATTGCTTTACAATGGTGTGTTAGTTTCTGCTTTATAACAAAGTGAATCAGTTATACATATACATATGTCCCCATATCTCTTCCCTCTTGCGTCTCCCTCCCTCCCACCCTCCCTATCCCACCCCTCTAGGTGGTCACAAAGCACTGAGCTGATCTCCCTGTGCTATGCGGCTGCTTCCCACTAGCTATCTATTTTACGTTGGGTAGGGTATATATGTCAATGCTACTCTCTCACTTTGTCACAGCTTACCCTTCCCCCTCCCCATATCCTCAAGTCCATTCTCTAGTAGGTCTCTGTCTTTATTCCTGTCTTATCCTTAGGTTCTTCATGACATTTTTTTTTTCTTAAATTCCATATATATGTGTTAGCATATGGTATTTGTCTTTCTCTTTCTGACTTACTTCACTCTGTATGACAGACTCTAGGTCCATCCACCTCATTACAAATAGCTCAATTTCATTTCTTTTCATGACTAATATTCCATTGTATATATGTGCCACATCTTCTTTATCCATTCATCCAATGATAGGCACTTAGGTTGTTTCCATCTCCATGCTATTGTAAATAGAGCTGCAATGAACATTTTGGTACATGACTCTTTTTGAATTACAGTTTTCTCAGGGTATATGCCGTGTAGTGGGATTGCTGGGTCACATGGTAGCTCTATTTGTAGTTTTTTAAGGAACCTCCATACTGTTCTCCATAGTGGCTGAACCAATTCACATTCCCACCAGCAGTGCAGGAGGGTTCCCTTTTCTCCACACCCTCTCCAGCATTTATTGTTTCTAGATTTTTTGATGATGGCCATTCTGACTGGTGTAGATGATATCTCATTGTAGTTTTGATTTGCATTTCTCTAATGATTAATGATCTTGAGCATTCTTTATTTTTCTTGCGGTACGCGGGCCTCTCACCGCTGTGGCCTCTCCCGCCACGGAGCACAGGCTCTGGACACACAGGCTCAGCGGCCACGGCTCATGGGCCCAGTCGCTCCGCGGCACGTGGGATCTTCCTGGACCGGGACACGAACCCGCGTCCCCTGCATCGGCAGACGGACTCGCAACCACTGCGCCACCAGGGAAGCCCTTGAGCATTCTTTTATGTGTTTGTTGGCAGTCTGTATATCTTCTTTGGAGAAATGTCTATTTAGGTCTTCTGCCCATTTTTGGACTGGGTTTTTTTTTTGTCATTGAGCTGCATGACCTGCTTATACATTTTGGAGATTAATCCTTTGTCAGTTGCTTCATTTGAAAATATTTTCTCCCATTCTGAGGGTTGTCTTTTGGTCTTGTTTATGGTTTCCTTTGCTGTGCAAAAGCTTTGAAGTTTCATTAGGTCCCATTTGTTTATTTTTGTTTTTATTTCCATTACTCTAGGAGGTGGGTCAAAAAGGATCTTGCTGTGATTTATGTCATAGAGTGTTCTGCCTATGTTTTCCTCTAAGAGTTTGATAGTTTCTGGCCTTACATTTAGGTCTTTAATCCATTTTGAGCTTATTTTTGTGTATGGTGTTAGGGAGTGATCTAATCTCATACTTTTACATGTACCTGTCCAGTTTTCCCAGCACCACTTATTGAAGAGGCTGTCCTTTCTCCACTGTACATTCCTGCCTCCTTTATCAAAGATAAGGTGACCATATGTGCGTGGGTTTATCTCTGGGCTTTCTATCCTATTCCATTGATCTATCTTTCTGTTTTTGTGCCAGTACCATACTGTCTTGATTACTGTAGCTTTGTAGTATAGTCTGAAGTCAGGGAGCCTGATTCCTCCAGCTCCGTTTTTCGTTCTCAAGATTGATTTGGCTATTCAGGGTCTTTTGTGTTTCCATACAAATTGTGAAATTGTTCATTCTAGTTCTGTGAAAAATGTCAGTGGTAGTTTGGTACAGATTGCATTGAATCTGTAGATTGCTTTGGGTAGTAGAGTCATTTTCACAATGTTGATTCTTCCAATCCAAGAACATGGTATATCTCTCCATCTATTTGTATCATCTTTAATTTCTTTCATCAGTGTCTTATAATTTTCTGCATACAGGTCTTTTGTCTCCTTAGGTAGGTTTATTCCTAGATATTTTATTCTTTTTGTTGCAATGGTAAATGGGAGTGTTTTCTTGATTTCTCTTTCAGATTTTTCATCGTTAGTGCATAGGAATGCAAGAGATTTCTGTGCATTAATTTTGTATCCTGCAACTTTACCAAATTCATTGATTAGCTCTAGTAGTTTTCTGGTAGCATCTTTAGGATTCTCTATATATAGTATCATGTCATCTGCGAACAGTGACAGATTTACTTCTTCTTTTCCAATTTGGATTCCTTTTATTTCCTTTTCTTCTCTGATTGCTGTGGCTAAAATCTCCAAAACTATGTTGAATAAGAGTGGTGAGAGTCACAACCTTGTCTTATTCCTGATCTTAGTGGAAACACTTGCAGTTTTTCACCATTGAGGATGATGTTGGCTGTGGGTTTGTCACATATGGCCTTTATTGTGTTGAGGAAAGTTCCCTCTATGCCTACTTTCTGCAGGGTTTTTATCATAAATGGGTGTTGAATTTTGTCAAAAGCTTTCTCTGCATCTATTGAGATGATCATATGGTTTTTCTCCTTCAATTTGTTAGTATGGTGTATCACGTTGATTGATTTGCGTATATTGAAGAATCCTTGCATTCCTGGAATAAACCCCACTTGATCATGGTGCATGATCCTTTTAATGTGCTGTTGGATTTTGTTTGCTAGTATTTTGTTCAGGATTTTTGCATCTATGTTCATCAGTGATATTGGCCTGTAGTTTTCTTTCTTTGTGACATCCTTGTCTGGTTTTGGTATCAAGGTGATGGTGGCCTCGTAGAATGAGTTTGGGAGTGTTCATCCCTATGTTATATTTTGGAAGAGTTTGAGAAGGATCGGTGTTAGCTCTTCTCTAAATGTTTGATAGAATTCGCCTGTGAAGCCATCTGGTCCTGGGCTTTTGTTTGTTGGAAGATTTTTAATCACAGTTTCAATTTAAGTGCTTGTGATTGGTCAGTTCATATTTTCTATTTCTTCCTGATTCACTCTTGGCAGGTTGTGCATTTCTAAGAATTTGTCCATTTCTTCCAGGTTGTCCATTTTATTGGCATAGAGTTGCTTGTAGTAATCTCTCATGATCTTTTGTATTTATGCAGTGTCAGCTGTTGCTTCTCCTTTTTCATTTCTAATTCTATTGATTTGAGTCTTCTCCTTTTTTTTCTTGATGAGTCTGGCTAATGGTTTATCTATTTTGTTTATCTTCTCAAAGAACCAGCTTTTAGTTTTATTGATCTTTGCTATTGTTTCCTTCATTTCTTTTTCATTTATTTCTGATCTGATTTTTATGATTTCTTTCCTTCTGCTAACTCTGGGGTTTTTTTGTTCTTCTTTCTCTAATTGCTTGAGGTGCAAGGTTAGGTTGTTTATTCGAGATGTTTCCTGCTTCTTAAGGTGGGCTTGTATTGCTATAAACTTCCCTCCTTAGAACTGCTTTTGCTGCATCCCATAGGTTTTGGGTCGTCATGTCTCCATTGTCATTTCTTCTAGGTATTTTTTAATTTCCTCTTTGATTTCTTCAGTGATCACTTCATTATTAAGTAGTGTATTGTTTAGCCTCCATGTGTTTGTATTTTTTACAGATCTTTTCCTGTAATTGATATCTAGTCTAATAGTGTTGTGGTCGGAAAAGATACTTGATACAATTTCAATTTTCTTAAATTTACCAAGGCTTGATTTGTGACCCAAGATATGATCTATCCTGGAGAATGTTCCATGAGCACTTGAGAAAAATGTGTATTCTGTTGTTTTTGGATGGAGTGTCCTATAAATATCAATTAAGTCCATCCTGTTTAATGTATCATTTAAAGCTTGTGTTTCCTTATTTATTTTCATTTTGGATGATCTGTCCATTGGTGAAAGTGGGGTGTTGAAGTCCCCTACTATGAATGTGTTACTGTCGATTTCCCCTTTTATGGCTGCTAGTTTTTGCCTTATGTATTGAGGTGCTCCTATATTGGGTGCATAAATATTTACAATTGTTATGTCTTTTTCTTGGATCGATCCCTTCATCATTATGTAGTGTCCATCTTTGTCTCTTTTAATAGTCTTTATTTTAAAGTCTATTTTGTCTGATATAAGAATTGCTACTCTAGCTTTCTTTTGGTTTCCATTTGCATGGAATATCTTTTTCCATTCCCTTACTTTCAGTCTGTCTGTGTCTCTAGGTCTGAAGTGGGTCTCTTGTAGACAGCATATATATGGGTCTTGTTTTTGTATCCATTCAGCCAATATGTGTCTTTTGGTGGGAGCAATTAGTCCATTTACATTTAAGGTAATTATCAATGTGTATGTTCCTATTCCCATTTTCTTAATTGTTTTGGGTTTGTTATTGTAGGCTTTTTCCTCCTCTTGTGTTTCTTGCCTAGAGAAGTTCCTTTAGCATTTGTTGTAATGCTGGTTTGGTGGTGCTGAACTCTCTCAGCTTTTGCTTGTCTGTAAGGTTTTTAATTTCTCCATCAAATCTGAGTGAGATCCTTTCTGAGTAGGGTAATCTTGGTTGCAGGTTTTTCTCCTTCATCACTCTAAATATGTCCTACCAGTCCCTTGTGGCTTGCAGAGTTTCTGCTGAAAGATCAGCTATTAACCTTATGGGGATTCCCTTGTGTGTTATTTGTTGTTTTTCCCTTGCTGCTTTTAATATGTTTTCTTTGTATTTAATTTTTGACAGTTTGACTAATATGTGTCTTGGTGTGTTTCTCCTTGGATTTATCCTGTATGGGACTCTCTGTGCTTCCTGTACTTGATTAACTATCTCCTTTCCCTTATTAGGGAAGTTTTCAACTATAATATCTTCAAATATTTTCTCAGTCCCTTCGTTTTTTCTCTTCTTCTTCTGGAACCCCTATAATTCAAATGTTGGTGCATTTAATGTTGTCCCAGAGGTCTCTGAGACTGTCCTCAGTTCTTTTCATTCTTTTTTCTTTATTCTGCCCTGCAGTAGTTATTTCTACTATTTTATCTTCCAGGTCACTTATCCGTTCTTCTGCCTCAGTTTTTCTGCTATTGATCCCATCTAGAGTATTTTTAATTTCATTTATTGTGTTTTTCATCGCTGCTTGTTTCATCTTTAGGTTTTTCTAGGTCCTTGTTAAATGTTTCTTGCATTTTGTCTATTCTATTTCCAAGATTTTGTATCATCTTTACTATCAGTATTCTGAATTCTTTTTCAGGTAGACTGCTTATTTCCTCTTCATTTGTTAGGTCTGGTGGGTTTTTACCTTGCTCCTTCATCTCTGTGTGTTTTTCTGTCTTCTCATTTTGCTTATCTTACTGTGTTTGGGGTCTCCTTTTTTGCAGGCTGCAGGTTCGTAGTTCCCGTTGTTTTTGCTGTCTGTCCCCAGTGGCTAAGGTTGGTTCAGTGGGTTGTGTAGGCTTCCTGGTGGAGGGGACTAGTGCCTGTGTTCTGGTGGATGAAGCCTGATCTTATCTTTCTGGTGGGCAGGTCCACGTCTGGTGGTGTGTTTTGGGGAGTCTGTGGACTTATTTTGATTTTAGGCAGCATCTCTGCTAATGGGTGGGGTTGTGTTCCTGTCTTGCTAGTTGTTTGGCATAGTGTTTCCAGCGCTGTAGCTTGCTAGTCGTTGAGTGAAGCTGGGTGCTGGTGTTGAGATAGAGATCTCTGGGAGATTTTCACCATTTGATATTATGTGGAGCTGGGAGGTCTCTTGTGGACCAATGTCCTCAAGTTGGCATCCCCACCTCAGAGGCACAGCAGTGACTCCTGGCTGCAGCACCAAGAGTCTTTCATCCACACGGCTCAGAATAAAAGGGAGAAAAAGTAGAAAGAAAGAAAGAAAGAAAGAAAGAAAGAAAGAAAGAAAGAAAGAAAGAAAGAAAGAAAGAAAAAAAGAAAGAAAGAAAGAAAGAAAGAAAAAGAAAAAGGAGGGAGGGAAGGAGGGAGGGAGGGAGGAAGGGAGGAAGGAAGGAAGGAACATGGGAAGGAAGGAAAGAAAGAAGATAAAATAAAATAGAGTAAGATAAAATAAAATAAAGTTAGTAAAATAAAAAATAATTATATAAAAAAATTTTTTTAAAGAAAAAAAAAGACCAAAAACAAACAAACAAAAACAAAAACAAAAACAAAAACGGATGGATAGAAGCCTAGGACAAATGGTGGAAGCTAAGCTATACAGACAAAATCTCACACAGAAGCATACACATACACACTCACAAAAAGAGAAAAAGGGGAAAAAATCATAAATCTTGCACTCAAAGTCCACCTCCTCAATTTGGGATGATTCAGGTATTCCAGAGATGCAGGATACATCAAGTTTTTATGGAGCTTTAATCCACTGCTTCTGAGGCTGCTTGGAGAGACTTCCCTTTCTCTTCTTTGTTCACATAGCTCCCGGGGCTCAGCTTTGGATTTGGCCCCGCCTCTGCGTGTAGGTCACCGGAGGGCGTCTGTTCTTTGCTCAGACAGGACGGGGTTATAGGATCAGCTGCTTCGGGGGCTCTGGCTCCCTCAGGCCGTGGGGAGGGAGCGGTACGGCGTGCGGGGCAAGCCTGCGGCGGCAGAGGCCAGCAGGACGTTGCACTAGCCTGAGGCGCGCCGTGCGTTCTCCCGGGGAAGTTGTCCCTGGATCCCGGGACCCTGGCAGTGGTGGGCTGCACAGGCTCCCCGGAAGGGGAGTGAGGGTAGTGACCTGTGCTCGCACACAGGCTTCTTGGTGGCGGCAGCAGCAGCCTTAGTGTCTCATGCCCGTCTCTGGTGTCCGCGCTTTTAGCCGCAGCTTGCGCCCATCTCTGGAGCTCCTTTAAGCAGCGCTCTTAATCCCCTCTCCTTGTGCACCAGGAAACAAAGAGGGAAGAAAAAGTCTCTTGCCTCTTCGGCAGGTCCAGACTTTTCCCCGGACTCCCTCCTGGCTAGACGTGGTGCACTAACCCCTTCAGTCTATGTTCACGCTGCCAACCCCAGTCCCCTCCTTGGGCTCCGACCGAAGCCAGAGCCTCAGCTTGCAGCCCCACCCGCCCCGGTGGGTGAGCAGACAAGCCTCTCTGGCTGGTGAGTGCTGGTCGGCACCGATCCTCTGTGTGGGAATCTCTCCGCTTTGCCGTCCACACCCCTGTGGCTGTGCTCTCTTCCGTGGCTCGAAGCTTTTCCCCATCCGCCTTCCGCAGTCTCCACCAGCGAAGGGGCTTCCTAGTGTGTGGAAACCTTTCTTCCTTCACAGCTCCCTCCCACTGGTGCAGGTCCTGTCCCTATCCTTTTTTCTCTGTTTATTCTTTTGCCCTATGTGGGGACTTTCTTGAGTTTTGGGAGGTCAGAGGTCTTCTGCCAGCCTTCAGTAGGTGTTCATGTAGGAGTTGTTCCACGTGTAGATCATCCTCTGTGTTCTTGTTTGTTACTATTTTTTTGTTGGACAACCCAGATCAACTTAATCAAGATTCAGTGAACCAAGGGATATAGTACAAGACCTTTTCCCCCATGATTTCATCCTAATTGTTTTGGGGTTATTCCAAGTGTTTCTATACGATAAGAGTGTACTAGCTCCTCATAAAGAAATGGAAAATAAATTCTCTTCTCGCCAGTTCTTCTTTCTTTTTTGTTTTTACCTGTCCAGTTCCCCAAACCATTAACTTTCCGTATCATACTTCTAATTCTAACCTATCCCAGCCTTGATTCCCATAACAAGTAGGAGACTTGAAGAACCACTCGGGAAGGAGGGGGCACTGGCATTGGTGTGGGTGCTAGATCCTTCGTTCCAGAGGGTGCTCTCTGTGGCGGGTTTATGGCTGGCTGCCCCTTCCTGCGTTCCGCCTGCTCTGCTCTGCCTCGGGACTCCCGTTAGTGACCAGTCCTTGTGGGAGACGAAGGGATAGCAGGAACTACTGCTGAATGCACCCTCCTGCACATCCCCATGCTGCCAGCTTCCCACCCCCCTCCCCCCACCCCAGGCTGTCTCGGCTGCTTCTGCTGTTGTGTAGTGGGGGTAGTGGCTAAGAGGGCTGGGTCTGGAGTTGCAGGTTCGAATCCTGCTTCCTCCACTACCTGGGCAAATTACTTAACCTCTCTGCGTCTCAGTCTAATCACCGGTGAAACAGAGCTGGCAATAATAATCTACCCTGTAGGGTTGTTGTTGGGATTCAATGTGTTTAGGACAAAGCTCAGCATATACTAATTTAGCAAGTGTGAGCTCTTCTTGTTGGGTGCCAGGTAAACATTGCACTAAACACATCTACACATATTTTCCCCTTAAAAATTCAATTGTCTTTGAGGTGCCTGAACTCTAGTGTGCTGGGAATCTGCCATGGATTTCCTTATAAACTAACAGGAGTGGAATAGAGGGGTTTTAAGAAGCTGGTGTAGGGGCATCCCTAGTGGTGCAGTGGTTAAGAATCCACCAGCCAATGCAGGGGATAGGGGTTCAAACCCTGGTCCGGGAAGAACCCACACGTTGCGGAGCAGCTAAGCCCGTGTGCCACAACTACCGAGCCTGCGCTCTAGAGCCCGCGAGCCACAACTACTGAGCCCATGTGCTGCAACTACTGAAGCCCATGTGCCTAGAGCCTGTGCTCTGCAACAAGAGAGCCACCGCAGTGAGAAGCCCTGGCACCACAACGAAGAATAGCCCCTGTTCGCCGCAACTAGAGAAAGCCTGTGTGCAGCAATGAAGACCCAATGCAGCCAAAAATTAAAAAAAAAAAAAAAAAAAAAAAAGAAGCTTATGTAAAACCATGTAGAATTTAACAGCATAGTGGCATTGTGGGGAGATCATGAGCTTTCCTTCAGTTAGAACCCAGTGTGTGTGCCATGTCAACTGCTTATGGGTTTTACTTTGGGCAAGTAGCTAACATCTGTGAGCCTCATTTATAAAACGGGAGTGTTAATTTCTCCCCACAGGGTGATTGCTTGAATGGTTAAATGAGAAAAGCAGTGTTAGGCTCTAAGCAAACCATTTTGACATAGTAGAGCCTCAACAAATATTAGATACCTTCCTGCCTGTTTTGACTAGATTTCACATTGTTTTGAGCCAGGTTAGAATCTTAGGTTTCATATATCAGTCCTGGAACCATAAGAAAATCAGCAAGTGACACATATACATTCATAGTAGATGGTGATGCTAAATTTTTTTTTTTTGCTAATTTTCTTTTTCTTTCTTTTTTTAACAGACAACTGGATATGGCCAAGAGGGAAAGTTTAGTGGACCCCTGAAGCCCATGACCTTTTCTATTTTTGAAGGCCAAGGACAGAGTCAAATCATATTCCAGGTAATGGCTACCCTTGATCACTGTCATCTTGATTTTGCAGGTTCTGTCAGTGGACTTTTACTCCTTTATCTACTGTACACCCAGAAATAAAATATAGGCATAGTAGATCTCATTATCAAGAATGATTTCAGAAGCTAAGTTAAACACAGAGATGAGTGGCTTCAGTGTTGTAAGACGTTGTACCTGATTTCCTCATTTGGACGTCCTCAGTGGTGTCTGGGGCAAGTACTCCCATCTCTGGGGTGGGGACCTTGGTGCCTGTAGACTCCGCCTCTTCCCCCAGCGGGGGAAGGGAACCTGTCTCTGGAGTGACATGGCCATCTGAGTATCTGTCTGTTCAATGAGCTGGCTGCTTGAAGCATTTGAGGTTGCGGGTTCTCTGGATTACTGCTGGAATGGCCTGCTTTCCTCACCGCCTCCTCTGAGCCCATCCCTGGGCCCTCACCCATGGGTTGGACAAGGCACAGTGGGAGGCAGTCATCTCATTTAGTTAGTTAACTGAGAAAGCCTGCTTGGCCTTGGAGTGGCTGAGGATGCTTTGATGAGCCTCTGGGTGTGCCCATGATCTCCCATCCCATGCACTGGGGGAGCAACAGAGGGTTGCTAAACTACCATCTAAGGTGGATGCCTTCTGTTAACTGTCCAAGCATTTGTTTCAGCAGTTCCCGTCCACAGAGGAGAGACTGAAAGCTGCCTCGTGCCACCTTCTCTCATTTGGTACCAAATTAGTGCAAAGGGGCTCCATAGTATGAGCTGTTGGGGGTGCACGTGTATCTCTGTGCCCTGCTGTGGGTATTTTAGAGGTTTTGACCTCTCCAGTGAGGGAAGCCGGCACTGAGCTAGGAGCAAATGCTTTGAGAGCTGGAGGCTAATAAGAGAAGAGTGTTCCAGCAAAGGCACAGCTTGGACACCTGCCCTGTGCTGGGAGAGGGCAGGGCATGCCCCGAGTTTTGGCAGAAGGCCAGCAGACAGCCTAAAGAAGAAGGTAGGAGAGGAGGCTGCAGAGACAGGAAGGCCCCTGACTTCTAAGGCTCTTAGATTTTCTCCTCAAAGCAGCGGGCCTGAATCAAGTTTCCATTCAGGGCTACAAACTGGAGGGGGGCGGGAAACGGAAGAGGTTGCAAGGGAACTGGTTGGGAGTCTATGGCAGGGTGCACACAAGAGGTGATCTCGTTAACTAACTTTCCCTCCCTTGCCAGGGAGCACTTAGTTATAGATATCTCATTTACATTTAAAAAATTCTGTTCAAGTTGTAGAGAACAAACATATGGACACCAAGGGGGGAAAGGGGGGGTGGGATGAATTGAGAGATTGGGATTGACATATATACACTGATAGGTATAAAATAGATAACTGATGAGAACCTACTGTATAGCAAAGGGAACTCCACTTCTCTGTATGGTAGAAACTAACACAACATTGTAGAACAACTATACTCCGATAAAAAAACATTCTGTTCATTTGTGTATTTTTATGCTTCATAAGCTGGTAAGAATGCTGTGGGATAGGCACATGTTCATCTCTTTTTTTGAATTTGATATATTTGTATTTATTTATTTATTTTTATTGGGGTATAGTTGCTTTACAATATTGCATTAGTTTCTGCTGTACAACAGAGTGAATCAGCTATACGTACACATATATCCCCTCCCCATCCCATCCCACCCATCTAGGTCACAACAGAGCACCGAGCTGAGCTCCCTGCGCTATATAGCAGGTTCCCACTAGCTATCTGTTTTACACGTGGTAGTGTATATATGTCATTCCCAATCTCCCAATTCATCCCACCCCCCTACGCCCCTGCCCCACGTCCACATGTCAGTTCTCTATGTCTGTGTCTCTATTCCTGTGTTGCGAATAGGTTCATCTGTACCGTTTTCCTAAATTCCACATATATGCGTTAAGATACAATCTTTCTTTTTCTCCTTCTGATTTACTTCACTCTGTATGACAGACTCTAGGTCCATCCATGTCTCTACAAATGACCCAATTTCGTTCCTGCTGGTGCCTATTGTTATAAGGCACTATGCTGGGTACCGAGGATACAAGATGACCCCAACACCATCCCTGCCCCCGGTGAGCGCATAGGGTAGTAGAAGGAGGCTAACAAGTAAGCAAACAATGTACTGAAGGGTTCTGATTGGAGTCTGGTGGGCTGCAGAGGGAACCAAGTGCAGATGGAGAAAGGGTGCTCGATTTTAAGTGTGGGCGGTAGTGGTTGAACAGAAAAGGTTTCACTGACCCTTCAGCTGAGTAATTAAAGTTGAACAGGCACTCACAGATGGAAAGCAGGCCCTGGATACAGTATGGGAAAAAGCACGGGGGTGTGCAACTCAGCAAGAGAATGAAAGATAACAGGTGGTTTAGGGTGTGCAAAGGCGAGGCTGCCGAGGTCGGGTGGTGGGGGTGGGTGTCCGGACTGGCCCTTTAACCTGTGGTAGGCTGCAGGGCACCTGTGGAGGGTTAAAGAAGGTGTGAAGGAATTAGACTGTGCTTGCACAGACCTACTCTGTGATCACTGTAAGTGTGGGATGAAGGGGGTGAGCCTAGAGGTGGGAAGGCTCTTGGGACAGTTTACCATAGACCAGTGGGAAGCGGTGGAGGCCTGGTTTAAGTAAGTATAAAGGGGGAGTGGAGGGAAGGAGAGGGGTAGGAGCAATGCAAGGAAGTCACACCTTCTGGGGTTGGTGACTGAATGACTGCTGTGGGTGAGAGGAGGTGTTTAGGGTAACTCCGAGGCCTCTGGCTTGCTTGACTGGCTGGTTAGTGGTGTCATTCAGAGAGAGAGGGAAGGAGAGAGAGAGAGAAGGAGGGGAGGGGAGGGAAGATTTATGGGAAAGTCAGTAAATAAGTGTTAGGCTTATTGAATTTAAGGTAATATGTGGGGTTAGCTAGGTGGAGATGTTGAGGAGACAGTGGCCATGTGGGTCTGGAGATACAGACTGGGGAGCCTTCCTCACACAGGTGCTAACCCAGTGCTTGGGTGTGAAAGTCCATCTGTAGTAAGTATCTCAACGGCCCACAAGGGCCAGGTAAGTGATGAATGATGCTATCTTGGGATAAGACAGGCAGTGGCAAAAAAACAGATGTAGAAAAACCCCCAACTGTGCAAACGTGAAATTAAAAGTCTTCTGATACTTAGCTCCAGCATGTGGGACACGGGGAATAGTGGGGACTGTGACAAACTGAGGGTACATCAAAAGGTAGAGCCTTAATTCAATTCCAGACGATTTCACAAGTCAGAATTTGTGTACAGTATTACTGGATTCTATGGTTTTTCCACAAAAGTCAGAAATTTTTACATTTATGTAAAATTTCCTGATCTAAGAATATTGGCACAGTAAAAAAGTCATCTTATAATCTCAGCAAAATGTACTTGTGGGCCAGAGAGTCTGTGGTTACTTCTGCAACCTCTATTTGAGGAGACTCTTGAGCAGAATGGAGTAGATATTCTGTGAGTACAGGTCCATGTGCCCCTGAACAGAATCAGAACTGTACCTAGAGGCAATGTCCAGCTAACAAACGTCACACACCTGGAAACTAATTCATAGGATCCTTCCGCAGTCTCTCAGGAGCCCAGCCAGTAAAATCATTCCTTGGGTTACTCCACTTCTTTTTCTGTTCTTTTTCCATTAGCCACACTACAAAGCTTGTCTCTTCTTGACAGAAAATGATAGCCCAACTGCCATGGCTGAATGCTTCTTGTTTATGGGTGTGTGTGTTGGAGTGGAGAAGGGTAGGCAACGAAGGGGATTTCCTTCTAGAATCTCAGAGTCTTTGTTCTAGAAAAGACCTTAGAGACTTTTTGTACCAACTGCTTGTTTTACAGATAGGGAAACTGAGCCTTAAATAAGTTAATGGCATAACTGATATTAGAACACTGATATTCTCATTTTCTAGTCGAGCATATCATGCTACTTAATACCATATACAAAAATTAACTCAAGGGCTTCCCTGGTGGCGCAGTTGTTGAGCGTCCGCCTGCAGATGCAGGGGACACGGGTTCGTGCCCCAGTCTGGGAAGATCCCACATGCCGCGGAGCGGCTCGGCCCGTGAGCCATGTCCGCTGAGGTAGAAGACCTGAATAGACATTTTTCCAAAGAGGACATGTAAAAGGCCAACAGGCACATGAAAAGATGTTCAACATTGTTAATCATCAGAGAAATGCAAGTTAAAACCACAATGAGATATCACCTCACACCTGTCAAATGGCTATCACTAAAAAGAACACAAATAACAAATGTTGGTGAGGAGAAGAGGGAACCTTCATGCACTGTTGGTGGGAGTGTAAATTGGTGCAGCCAAGGAAAACAGTGTGGAGCTTTCTCAAAAAACTAGAAATAGAACTACCATATGACCCAGCAATTCCGCTCCTGGGGTATATATCTGAAAAAAATGAAAATATTAATTTGAAAAGATGCATTCACCCCAATATTCATAGTAGTATTATTTACAGTTGCCAAGATACGGAAGCAACCTAAGTGTCCATCGGATAAAGAAGATGTAATCTATCTATCTGTCATCTATCTATCTATCTATCTATCTATCTATCTATGTACACACACACACACACACACACACAATGAAATACTACTCAGCATAAAAAAGAATGAAATTTCGCCATTTGCAACAACATGGATGGACTTGGAGGGTATTACGCTTGGTGAAATAAGTCAGACAGAGAAAGATAAATACTGTATGATATCACTTACATGTGGAATCTAAAAAGTAAAACAAACTAGTGAATATAACAACAAAGAAAAGACAGATACAGAAAACAAACTAGTTGTTACCAGTGGGGGGAGTGCAGGCGAGAGGGGCAAGATGGGAGTAGGGGATTAAGAGGTACAAACCATTATGTATAAAATAAATAAGCTACAAGGATGTCTTGTACAGCACAGGGAATACAGTCAGTATTTTGTAGTAACTATTAGTGGAATATAACCTTTAAACACTGTGAATCACTATGTTGTACACCTATAATTTATTTATTTATTTA